CATGGCTTAAATATACAAGGTTATTGCAATAGTACCCCCACTATATCATTTTATCACGTTAAGGAATTAAAATGGCAGCGTAAGGGGACGACGTATACTGGCTATATTATGATATTATATGCTATGATATGGACCGTACCCTTACGCTGCCATTTTATTTTTATTTGATAACAATTTGGCTATGTGCAATAACCTTGTATATTTAAGTCATGGAGTATTTTTTAACACTATATTAAAGTATACCTTAACAGTCGTGGTGTCGAACCTATGGCATGTGAAGATTAATAAAAATATTTTTCTTGACATATTTCATAATATTTTGTCTGTATTTCATAAAATAAAAGTTAACTAATAAATGCGTAATAAAATGTGTATGGTAACCATTGCTTACTTTTTTTTGTTCTCAGTATAAAAAGACCTCTTTTTGTAGAGGAAATGGGGCATTTTAATTATAAAAATGTTGGCACGAAAACAGTTTTCCACCCCTGCAATTTATAACATGTTATTTTTGATTTCCAATTAGCAATGACTGGAGCTGATGTCGGGCCTTGTCGGGTGAATATACAGCAGGCAGTGATGGCAAGGCGAACTTGACATTTTTCACAGGCTTGTAAAATTGTAAATATTTATTTTTTATATTTCACCCACCTCGAAGTATACCAATAATCCGATAAAGGCGCGCTCACTGTTAAAATATTTGTGATTATATCTGTTATTACTAAAATACTAGAACTTTGTTACTTTACCGGACTACATTTTTTCTTGCAGTGTTTTTTTTCTTTAACTTACGTAGTTAGGTAGGTATACGAAAAATGACGGTGGAGTCAGAATTTGGTTAAATAAATTGTAGGTCAGACTTAGTTTTGAAGTTACAGCCTATAATGAAATTTCCGATTCTGCATGCATTCGCACAAAGCTCTATTTTACAACGCTTTTAAAGTTTTAATTGACTTTATCTATGCTATACGAAGATATACATAATAACTATTTTTGCAATGTTTTTCTGGTAGACGATATTTACACTGACAAAAATGTATAATTGTAACAACAAATAAAAAATTATCTACATCATAATCTAAAAGCTTGTAAAATGATTTTCTGATTTGTTTTTAAAATGTGCTGCTTATTCCTATACTATAAATCACAATTGAAACATGATATTAACTTCAACATTGTCATAGTTAAGTTATAATTTTTAACTTGAGAATTTTAAATTGGTCATAATAAATTATATTCTGTCAAACTTTTTTTGTTCTATTATATGAGTAACATAAAATTTGTATTAGTACTTAAATTTAGTTCAAATTAATAACAAATAAACAAATGTCTAAACCAAAATAAAAATTTTAAATTTTATATTCAATTTAGATTTTTTCTAACAACTTGGCTTGTTCTTATTGAGTTTGGCTATCTTGGTTCAATTTAGATATTTTTTAATCTAAATTAGATTTCTTTATTCAATTTTAATCTTTTTATTAAATTTAAATTTTTTTACTGGCCTCCCGATTTACTTGCAAATTCTAAAAATGGACTTGCAAATTCTTGCTAATCGTTATAGCTTTTGTTTGAGACCAATTTTGAAGTTCTGGGTCAAAATGGATGGGCTACTTAAAGTTGGCCCAACTTTAAATTTTTTGGTGTCATGGTGAATATTTGAGCTTGCAAATGATAAAAATACCCTTGCAAATACTAGCAAATAACTTGCAAAATAATGGCATCGATTTTGTTAAGATTGCATAACTTAAGTGGGCCAACTTTATGAACATCATAAAATGCACCTAAGTATAGGAAGGGTGTTACAACAGCACAGTTATACAAATATTAATTTATTGATTTTTTTAAAATTTAAACTTATAATTATAGATTTGATATTATACTTAAAAATATAGTTTCAAAGGTGATAAGGATTTAAAATCAGGATAACTATTTAAGTATGATGCCAAGTTATTATATCTCTCAGTACGAGTTTCATTGTATCTTTCCATTCTCAACGTCAATACGTTAAGTTCGTTTTTCAACAACGAACACAATATTAACGTTTTATTCTTGAGTTCAACTTCTTTGAACCGGTCGGTTTCTAGTGCCTTCATCATGGATTGTAACTTGAATTGTTTCTACAAAAACACACAAATTAATGTTTTAATTTTAAAGTTTTTTCTATTAATTGTTAAACAAATACACAATTATACCGTTGCAAATAAATGTTTGGTCTGTGTAAACCGTTTTTTGGTTTTTTGTTTAAAGTTTTGAATGATTTTTTCACGAACATTTAAAGCATTATTATCTTGTGTAAATAATCTTTTAATTATTACATGGTATGGCAAAGAGTTTTCTACTTGTTTTGATTTATCTCGTTTGGAAAGAGCGAGCTTTTTATCTTTCTAAAACAATAAATTAATTTGTACTTGTCACGTATACATTATAAAAATATAAAATTACTTCGTTTTGGAGTAATTTTCTGATCCCATGATTTCTGT